GATCACAGAAAACCAATCACAGAAAATTTGGAAATATTTTATGGCTGTGGATGATTTGAATGAACAGAGAAGAAGACCAAAATTCATTTGCATTCAGTCGGTTGGATCTCTGCTCTTTTACATTTTTAGCTGTGTCATTGCACACAGCCTCAGATGCTCTTCAGCGGTGTTTAGCAAGCTGCTAACTTGAGCTCAAGTTATTTCTCTGATGATTTAAGACCAAGACATCACCGAATGGAGATCCTGCATATTGTATTTATGTATGGCATACCTCTAGCAACCGCATATGGAAAACTCTGAAAACAAGTGTCAACAAGGTAAAATGGGACTCATATCGGCTTACACAGCAATCAACTGTGCCATTAAATTTTAGATTATATATAAGAATTAGACAACACATTAAAGTCAGCATTTTGTCGTAGCCATCTTGGAGTCTTTTTAATCAGAGGTGACCATCTTTGGACAACAGGGTGGAGCACGAAAAGGAGAATAAGATCTACAAACGCTAAACAATAAGCTAATACTGGAATTAGCTTGGTGAGCAGGGTTTAACGTTACAATTGAAAATGCGAAACAGTCTTTTAACAATATTTACATACTCAAACTAGACAGCCAAATGCTCAGAATGTCTTTAAGTACATTTTCAGGCTGCCATGGAACATCTTGTCAATCGCAAGTAGCCCCACCCTAATTCCTGCTTTATGGTCCATTTGACTCCAAATGGGATCATGCTGCACTGGAGACGACTATCATTGAAATTGAGGAGGGGAAAAAAAACGCATTAAGACTCTTTGGCCTTGTCTTCACCTTTAGGCCAGATTATGTCAATGTCTTATATACAGTCCATGCTTTAAACTGAAAAAAAAAAACCAGTTAATTCATTATATTAAATAGGCAAATATATTATTTTCACTCTAATTCTCAACAAACTCTCAACTATAGAGTTTCAAAATGGCCTGAATGAAACAGAAGAAAACTGCACTATCATTCTTTAAAACATGTTCAGTGATGTTTGGTTTTGACTTATTGCTTCACTCAGATTCAAACTCTCAGCATTCATGAGGACCCCTGTGGACTCTGAGACACTTGACTCAGTCAAGAGGCAGCACAGAGGAGGAGGAGGAGAGCAGACAGCGTCACAGTGATGTGGACCATTACATAAAAATATAATTATTACTACCAAGCTGCTGCTGCTGCTAGTGCTGCTGCATGATACAGCAGCATCTGTTACCGGCAGGATAACGTGAGCTGGATTTCACTCCAGTGATCAACCAACATGGCCGACGGTGCCGACAAAGAGTGGACTGGAGGAATGAGGAGATTTAACTATCAGACAATGAAAATGATTGCAGAGTGAGAGAATCTGCAGCAGAGAGAGAGAGGACGAGGAAAATGGATTGCATGGATGAGGGGAAAAAAGGCGGCGGCAAAGATAGAAATGGTGGTGGATGGATGTGGAGACAGAGATGGAGGGCTGAAGGGAGGGACACAAGGGGCGGGATAAGAAGGGATGAGATTTAAATGAGAGGTGATAGGTGGACTGAGGAAAGCTGGAATGAAGACGGAAAAAGGAAAAAAAGTTAAGATGGATTGAAGAGGGGAGTAAGCGATGGAGGGGGTGAGGAAAGCGGAGACAAGGGAGGGTAGAAGATGGAATGAAGTAGAAGAAGACGGAGAAAACGAAGTAGGAGGCATGGCTTTTTGGGATGGTGGGATGATGGATGGAGAGAGGCTAAATTAAGAAATGAAAAAAAAGACACATGCAGAGCAGCTGTAAGAGCTACAGGCCTCTTCCCTATATCTATACCGATAATGTTCATCGTGCCAGATAAATTCTGTGAGTCCCAAGCATGTATACCCGGTCCCATTTTGCAGCATGTGACCAAGCATGCACTGAAATGAATGCACATAAATTTGGCACCATGGAAGTGGGTGATAACTTAGAATTAGACAACAATGGAAATATTACACCCCTTGACATTTGAGGGATACTATTTTAAAATGTGTAAACGGAACCCATTGACGCGGGACAAAATTTAAAATCCAGACCCTTAAACATGAACTATACAATATCCTAAAGTCTATTCCAGTATTATAAAATCATTATTGCTTTCTTCAGATATTTTCATCTCTTAAATGCATTTTTTGATTCCTTTTGACGATTTAAGGTAAGAAGCTTCGATGAAATTAAAATTGTTTTCCTTTCATATATTATAAAATCTCACATTTATTGTCACATGGATGCAACCATTAGACTATAACGGGACTAAAATTGTTTTTCTAGTTGCGATATTTTAGAGTTTATCCATCTTTGCAAACATGGCCTCATCCTAAACCCGTGGGAGTGGCTATCAAAGCTGCCTGGTAACATCTTGATTGTACGACCTACAGTACAAGCAGGTTAGCATGCTATCGTTGCTGATCCTTCTGATTGAACTGATGAAACTTCTGATTTGAGTCTGTACCTTTACTGCATTAACAGAATGGCTTACAAACAAACTGTGGGATACAATTTACGTGTTGGAGCAAGAACATGTTGGTGGATGTTATTATGCATTAATTTAAGGGGAGGATCCAGTCTCCTCATTGCATGTTTTTAGGTCTTTATGAGAAGAGATGAGAGATGTGTGAGTCAGATGATTATGTTAGGCTACATTCATTCACACGGCCACAAAATTATAAACTTTCAAGCACATTTCGGCTACTTTTGCTTCAATTAGGTTAAAACACAATGTGCACAAATACGTATAAATGGAAACATATTAAGACACAGATGGAGTAATGGTGGATTGATGTAATGAAGGAGGAAATTAACAAGAATAAGAAAGTGGAAGCAGGTTTGGATGAAGAATGTATTCAAGACAGGATGATGAAGGGATGGAGGATTAAACGAAGGAGGACAGAAATACATGGGAGTGATAGACTGAAAGGAGGAAAAGATGTTAAATAAGAAAAAGGACACAGGAGGGATAAACGACTGGAAGAGAGATGTGGACAGAAGAAAGATGACTGGGTGGATGGTGAAGGAATAAAGGGATAAATAGATGAAAAGAGGGAGAGGGCAGAGAAAGAGGGATGGAGGCTAATGTGATGACAGGGTGATGGAGGGATGAAAGACAGAGTAAGACAGGGAAGAAGGGATGAGGAAAGAAAAAAAAGATGATGGAGATTTGGGAAGATGCAAGAAGAAGGGAATGGAAAAAAATAGAAGAAGCGATTATATCAGGATAAGAAGAGAGAAAGAATGTGGAGGAGTGGATGAAGAAAAGATGGACTCGGAGGAGAGGATTGAAGGAAGAAAAATTGGGAAAAGGAGAAAAGATGGAGGGAGGGAGGAGGAGGGGAGGTGAAAACAAGAAAAAGGATGGAAGGAGAAATAAAAAAAGATGGAGGGATGGATGGACAGCAGTGCGGTAAACTCCGGGCGGTGCTGAGCCTGTCACTTTTTAAATGCAAATCACCTCCTATCACACACACACGCACGCACACGCACGCACACTCGCACACGCACACACACACACACACACACACACACACACACACACACACAGTTCAACTGCTGATTTATTGATCAGATACTATTGATCAGTTTTGACCCTTTGGAATATATCTGTACAGAGAAGAAGAGCTGAAGAGAATCCAATCAGATCGATCAAGTAGATAGTGTGGTGTGTGTGTGTGTGTGTGTGTGTGTGTGTGTGTGTGTGTGTGTGTGTGTGTGTGTGTGTGTATTGCGTGCGTGTGTGTGTGATTATGGCTGGATTCAGTTCGTTTGTCTGACGCGAACCCAGTTGAACCCGGGTGGTGGCGGTGGTGGTGGTGGTTGAGGTAGGGGGGTGTGTGTGGGGCTGCTGCAGAGTTTGAGCAGCTGATGTGACACCCCCCCCCCCCCTCCTCTCTCTCCCCCCCCCCCCCCCCCAAAAAAAAAAAAAAATCCGCCCAAACCTCCAGCATCAGCTGTTTGTCAAACCTCCAGTCTCCCCCGATGCAGAGCCACACAGTCATAAAATGGGTGAGGCTGTGGTAAAATGAAGGGACCCCCCACCCCCACCACCCCACAACCCCACCCACACCACCACTACCCCTCCCTCCCTCCCTCCCTCCCATTCTGCCGTGCAGGAGCGGCAGGAGACACGCGGTAAAAGCGGCAGATAAAGCTGCATCCTGATCACCCATCCCGCCACGGATCGATCCTCCTCCCCGCCTGATCGGGACTCATGCTCCCACACTCACGCGGCTCTATCAGGGAGGAGGCGCGCGCGCAAGATGCAGGATGCGGCCTCGAAAAAAAAAAAAAAAAGAAAAAAAAAAATCACTGCATTTTGGTTCCCGGCTCATTTCAGAGTCAGCCCTCCTCCTCCTCCTCCTCCTCCTCCTCCTCTTCCATCAGGTCATCCAAGCACGCATGCATGGACATGCACGGCCACATTAGCATGGATGAGAGCGTTTTTTATTTATTTTTTAAGCCAGTTTTCCCATCATGCATGCAGCGCTGCACGAGCAGAGAAAACCTGTGCAGGGCCTCTGCGTCTAAACCCGTCGAGACCCGTTTAAAGTCAGGCCATTAAAAGGAGGAAAATCACTCAAATAAACAGGGTCCAAGCTGTAAACCGTGACCTCCAGCCGGTACATCCCGTTTACCAAACCAAACATCCACCACCAGTGAACGCTAAATCAATGTGATGTCTGAGAAAAGCCTCCATTTCAGGCTCCATCCTCCCTCCACTCTGCAGCTCCTTCACATCACTCTGTATGCACAGCATGAGGAGCCGCAGCTCAGCCGCCTCTCCTCCTCCTCCTCCACACACCTCAAATCAGCTCAAATGTGGCTTTTAGCAGGTTAATGCTGCGCCGCTCCTCTGCACTCGGCTCGCGTCCGGATGCAGCGGAGGAGAGGCGGCGAGGCCGAGGAGCTGCTGCGACGGCCGCAGGAGGAAGGGGGAGGAGGGAAAACACGGAGGCCAACATGGATGGAAATTAAAAATGAAAATTGAGCTTACACTTCGCAGTTCCGCCGTACGGTCCTTCATGGTGTCGCCGCGCCGAGCTGGCTGCTAGAAAACGGAGAATCGGCCCTGGTCCGGGAGGGGAGGGGGGGAGGTTTCCAACACCGCGCCGTTCGTCGTTTTGCGCTCCGAGATTCCCCAACAAGATTTTTTTTTCTCTATTCGTCCTCCTCTCGTTTTTTTTCTCTCCTATGGTTCGATTCCCCTGAAAAGCGGAGCAGAGAGATGGAGGGAGGAAGAGCGCGGTGTGACGCGTCTCCGCCTTCTGCTGCTGCTGCTGCTGCTGCTTCTTAGGAGGAGGATTTTTTTTTTATCCGTGTGGTGACGGCGCGCTCGAACCCTCCTCTTCTGCTTTTTCTTCTTCTTTTAAATTGCGCCTCTCCGCCGCTCTGCCTCAGGCTGGCCCCCCTGTTGGTCCGCGGCTTTCTCCTCTTCCTCCTCGGTGCGGTTGCAGTGTGGCCCCGCAGCGCGCAAAGCAGCAGCCCGGCAGGAAGAGCGACGAGAGAGAGAGAGAGAGAGAGAGAGAGAGAGAGAGAAAGTGGGGGAGGAAGGGAGAGAAAGTATAGGGAGGAGGGAGGAAGTGTGGTACTGATGCTGCAGAAAAAGAGAGCTGAGGGAGGGAGGAGGGGGGGGGGACGATGCGGAGGGGAAGTAGAGGCAGTGCGCAGGCGCCAACTCCCTCCACCCTCCATCTTTACCTGCTGCTGCCTCTCCCCTCCCCCTCCTCTCCTCTTTTCTCCCCTCCCCTTTCTCTCCCTCCGCAGCAAGCAAGGTGTGTGTGTGAGTGTGTTTGCGTGCGTGTATGGTTTCAGGTGAATGAGGATCAGTTGGGGGGGGGATGCACAATCTGTTCATTCTGTGTTCTCACATGCAAAAAATCTACTATGTGAAAAATTCTGCTAAATCTGCATGTGCACATTACAGCGTAAATAGAGCACATAATCTCAAATTACAACAAAATATCAGTTTACACTCAGGATATATGAAGGGAGAGGCTGCGTTCAATGGCTAAATCAACCACATTGACTCAAGTGTCTTCATTTTAAGGTCCAAATTACTTTTCCTTTTTGCAACCTTGTAATACCCAGCTAGATATATTGGATTGCTGTTGGTAATTTGAATATTTATCAAAGAAAATAATCCATAGAATGGAGACGTTTTGACAAAGATTTGGTTAATAGATTCAAATAAAACTTTATTGATCCTCAGGAGGGAACTTAACCTACTCAGCACAATAAAGTGACGTAAATAAAGTGAGTAAAATGAGTTCGACCTTTTCTCGCTGCAACAAGTCAAGTCAAATGTATGTATAAAGCACATTTAAAAAAAGAAATCATGTTCATTTTCATGCTGTACAACCAAAACAAGGATAAACACGTCAATGCTTCAATTCTATCATCCGAAAATCAAGCGGCAACTTCCGTTTTTTCAAAAATGAAGCCAATGCAACTGTGCAAAAAAAATAAATGCAGTTCGTTAAGTGTCCACTTGAGGCGGCTGTAAAATATCGTAAATCTCGTTAAGTTCACATGTGAAGAATTTAACTAAAGGTTCATTGTCCCAACACTAGATGGCACTTTAGTTATCTTTCTTCAGTTATTTAATTTTTCCACATTAAAGGCTTTAAATGTGATTTTTCACACTTAAATGTAGAAATCAAGTATATCCTCTGAAAATAACTCTGTGAGTCATGACTGTCTACAATGGGTGTAACACCCGAGTCCCACTGTCTGTGATGTTTTCAGAGTTTTCAGAGTCCTATCTTAGTTTGTTCACATCGCCGGGATGGCCGGCTGACTCCTCCCCTCACGTATAAAAGTTGTTTAATTGAGGGACTAGAGAAAAGAAGAATAACATACTGTACTCACTGCTTAACTGTGTTTCTAGATCACGCTCATTTCAGGTAAATTTACATGCAGTGTGAAGATACGAGCATAATAAAGATTGCTAGCATTAGCATGCTAACACAACAATGCAGCACGAGTTGTTTTGCTGGCGCATATAAAGCCTTTAACGTGAGTGGATAAAATGACCACAGCACTAGCTTAAATGCAAAGAGCATTAAAGCAGAAAAACAGAGCCGGTTAGTTTTAATGAAAACAGCCACTAGAGGGCGCTGTGATATCTCTGGCAACAGATAATTGTCTATTTTTACAGCCCGATAAGAAACACAAAATAATCCAGATAAGTCATCAGAAAAGCCTGAAACATTTTCTGTTCACATTTGTGATGTCACCAAATACAGTTACAAATGAAGCGTCACTGGAGAACTGGAAATCCCGTTCTGTGCACAAGCATCACTTTAGCTTTCTATGTTAATTATGCAAGAATGAAAAAGCCTGTTGAAAGAAAAGTTAAATTAAGTTTTAAGATATTACAATCACAATGTTTCGACCAGATTTATTCTTCAGGAGAAAGACCTCTGGTTGAAACGTTGTGATGGTGATGAATTAAAACTTGTTGTGTCACTTGAGGCAGTGTGCCGGTCTGTCTTCCTTCTCAGTGTGCTGTTGTTTTTTGTTGCACTGCCCCGAGATTTACGTATATCTTCCTCATGTTGTGAATCAAGGTTCACACAGAACTTTTTTTTGCATTCCAGTTGGATCTACAAACATCTATCATGTATAAGAACAAAGTTATCAGACTGTATGAAATTGGCAGTTAGTGTGTTTTTTGTGTGTTTTCCTTCTTATTTCTGAGGAAGTGAAGACTGAATTATCAGATTTGTTTTATGTTGGCATGGTATTCATTCACTGATTGTAATTGGACAGATCATCCAAACATTTATTGTTTGCTTTTTGAGTAAGGGGCAGGCAAAACAAGATGTATTCTTCTCCCTGCTCCTTTCTGTACATGGGATAAAGTGTGAATCGCTTTTTCTTTTTTTTTTCTGTTGTGTGTTTTGACAGGTACAGAACAAAATAATAAAAAAAAAAATTATCTACTGTTAGCTAACGGGCTTCAGAAGAAACAGGAGCATAGCTGAAGTGACTGTACTCAATCTTCTCTCTCTCTATCAGGGGTGGGCAACTGGCGGCCCGGGGGCCACGTGCGGCCTCCATCAACCATCAACGTGGCCCTCAGGTAAATTTTTTACACATCAATTAATTGGAAACATGAAAAACATGATGAAATCTGCCATGAAATCATGAAACTCAGAAATATGTCCATAATAATATTTGATCACTGGTATATGTTGAGTTAATTTTGCCCTCTAGCAGTGAGAATTAAATGAATGTGGCCCTTGCTGTCATCGCTGCTCTATATGTTTAAATTGTAAACAAACAACACACAATCATCTTTACATACTCTCCTAATATAAATGTTGAAAACACACATTTTTGAGTCTTCACAAACTAAGTGAGCTACTGACTGTTTAAATCAGTGTTTCTACCTTTAATGAAAATACTCATCTTCAACACATGAAGGTGTATTTGTATGAGAACTTGATGGTTATTCCAACATAGAATCACAAAAGTTATTAAACTTACATCTGATGAGTTTTAACGCCTCAAACAGGGCAGAAAGAAGAGCTAACAGTTATCTGTCTGTAGCAGCTTCCTGGTTGATCTCTGACCTTTGACTCACATGACCTTAGTCGACCAATTATGAAGCTGCAGGTCTAAGCACAAATAAAGGTAAAAACCCTTACCCTGTCAGCCACCAGGGGGCAGTGTCAATAAGCAGAAATGAACTACAAATGTCTGCTTAGACTGACTCTGACCTGTCTGACTGCAACACTTAGGCTGGTTTGAATGAAAAGTATCCTGCTGGTACTCGGTATCTGCTGAAGTCTCTGTGTCAGAATCACTACTGGGAAGGAACTTATTTGGTGTGTGTGAAAATGTATTTGTAGAGGTTTTTAGGATTTCTGTTGTGGTCTCTGCACAAATGTATCAAAGTCATGTATGAATTTTATGTCTAAAAGGTGTCAGAATGAATTACTTTATATTCAGTAAAGTTATGTTTGGTATCTAGAGGCAGAAATGTCGCTTTTCTACATTGGCAAAACGAGGACAGTTGAACTTACCTTTTTTTAGGGAGGTACTTTCTGGACTTCAACAACATTAACACATCCACATAAGAAGCATTTTACATTGACTGCATCCCATCTTCCATCAGAAATACAAATGAAGTTAGCCATTTTAAAAGCCTTTTGAATCCGTCCATCAGAGCAGTTGTTGCCCCCTCGTTGCCTTGGAGTCCCTCTTTCTTGTATCCAAAAAAAGCTCACCATCAAGTCTTATTGTTTAAGAACAGACAAAGCCTCACGCTCACCTTGAGATCTTTGGTTTTTGTTCTCTTGAGCTCATGTGGGAAAGAACCTGAACCTGGATGTAGACCTCAAATCAGGTCCCATCATCAGACTCTCTCATTTGGATAAAAACACCACTTCTAATCTTAAAATCCCTCCAACTTCTGAACAGGGAGAGGTTCTCTGTGTGGAGATAGTAGTTATGTGTGTGTGTGGGGGTGTGTTTGTGTGTTTTTCTGTGTGTGGGTGTGTGTGTGTATCAGCAGTGATATATGAGGCCAGCTGCTATTAAACAGAGTCTTGAGAGTTTAAAATGGAGTTTTAATGGTGGAGATGGACTCTGGAGGCGGCTGCAGGTTGGCTGGACGCCCGGAGGAAATCCCCTCTTCTTCATCATCCTCTCTCTCTCTCTCTCTCTCTCTCTCTCTTCTTTTCTTTTTTCTTTTTTTAAAATCCTCCTCTCGGAATCTTTTTACCCAAAAGGAAAAAAAAGAAGACATTTTAAACGTCTTAATTCATATTCAGGTTGTGCAGAGTGGACAGACGTTTGACTCTCAGGGAAGAGGAGCGGCTCTTTGAACCAATCTTGAAGGAAATCAGAGATCTTGTTTCATCAATAATTCACCACGTCTGGTCTGTCCTTGTCGGCCCAACAGGACGGTGAACGGTCTGAATTATTATCAGGGAACAAATGTCTCATTTCAAACCATTTTATCAGAACATATTTCCTTTTTATTTCCTCATGTGGACATTTGAAATCACAGTAACTCCTCACAGAGTTCAGCTCAGTCATCAACAAGTCAAATCACCTTTAATCAAAATCATACCAAAAACAACTGGTTCTTTAAAAATCATAGATCAGTGTTTGAATGTTTCTGTAAATTTGTGACCATCTGAAACAAAGTTCGGTGCCTTGCACAGGGGCACCTCAGCAGTGCTCAGCAAGTGAACTATCACCTCTCCAGCTACCAGACCGATTCCCAAATATGGTCCGTGACGCAACTTGAATCGGTTCCCAACCCAAGTCCCTACAGACTGAGCTACTGCCACCATATGCTCTACTAATACCCCTACAAGACGAGTATGAGGGCAGCAGTTATCGTTGTCTTTTTTTGCAATCTGCAGCCTCACCACTAGATGTCACTAAATCCTTCACTCTGCTCCTTTTATGGAACCGACTGAAAAACAACAACAATAAAACATAATTTATATCCACAAACAAGTAATATATAAATATACATTTTAAATTAATAATAAACGTTGGTGCTGCTTTTGAATGTGTTCTTAAGCCTTCATGATCCAGCGATCAAATGATTATTTTTCTGGTCTTGTTTTTACATCTCATAACAAAGATCAGACTCAAAAAATAAATTCATTCATCCCCAGAAAAAATCCCCTAAATTCCTCAACAACAAAATGCAATTCAACCGTGAAATGAGGGGGCTTTTTGGGTACAGGTTGTGGGCAAAAGCGTTAAGATGGTAAAGGACTATGCAGACCTGTTGTGACCTCTGGAGGTCAGCAGAGCTAGTTCACAGGTCAACCTTCTGGGTTTACTCAAAACCTGCATCAGCAGTGAAAAACGGATTGTTTATTGTGGTGCGTGTGTGAGTGTGTGTGAGCGTGTGTGTGTGTTCATAGACGTGTGTGTAGGTGCTACACAGTCAGCAGGGTGTGTTTCAACTGTTACTGTTACTCAGGACTGCTGACAGTAAACTGTTGGCCTGCCACTGACATGCACACGTATGTCTTCTACAAGTGGAAGAAAATGGATGTTGGTGACTGGTGGACTTACATGAATGGAATCATGAGAATGAATTTAGCTAGATGTAATATTTGTTTGGGTTGGTGATTCTATCATCTTAGCTGCAATACATGGCATGTGACTTGAAGATTTATCTTAATTTGTGTTTTTTAGTGTGTGGAGAATCTTGTGATGGAAGCAGAGTCGACTAATCAATAGTCAGTCAAAAATGTTCACTCAAACCCAAACCAGTTTTGAATGTTTTTTTAAACAGTGGAAATAGACTTAAAAAAAATATTTTCAATGAAAAATTCTTGCTGGGAATGGAGAAGATGTTTTTCATTTTTATTATTTTATTTTTTTTATCTTTATTTTTATCAGGCTCTCCAAAAACCATTATATAATGGTTTATGAAATAATGAAATCATCTTCATATACATTATTTAAGTATTGTTTTATTGGTGTAGGTGTTAGTTCAAAATATCAAATAAAAAACTGTAACGCCAAAAAGAATTAGGAGCATTGACAGGTGATCTAACTTTTTATGTTTTAAACAAACATGTTTCTAATGATAAACAGCCTAAAGAGATTCTCAAAGCAAGACGCTCTCATGATGACCTGACCTCCCCGAGTCCCAGTGGTGCTCCTGGTCCTCCTTTGTGTATCCCATCACGCCCTCGTAGGTTGGTGAGGGGGCATACTGCTCACACAGGGATCCCTGCAGGCTGGGAGCACATACCGCAGACAGACGGACAGACAGCAAGCCGTGTTTCAGGCGTAACCTCTTGTTGATGTTTTTTCCTGATGTGGGGATGATGTCCACCTGGCCCAGCAAGTCGTCGTTCCAGCGGTTGTCCCGGTCCCAAACCTCAAAGCGGATAGGCCTGTGGAAGAAATAAATGTCATCATCAATAAAAGGTATTAGAATAAACCTCTGGCTTTTGTTCCCCAATTGACTCTAACGCTGGTGTTATTATTATGATAATGTGATCCAGTGACTTCACCAGGAAGTGGGACAGTACGTGTAGCTACCAGAGGTTGGTGTTGAGGACTGACATCTACAACTTGAATTTGTTGTACCAAGATAGCCTATGGGTCCCAGGACTGCAATTTCAGCAAAAACGTTCCACGATCTTGTATGCTTCTCACATGGACTTTTTCCTGCATATAAACCAAGCCTATAACTGGAGTGACCAATTTCAACATGATTTCAAACAGAAATGCACAAAAGCTGAGACACCAAAATCTTGTCCCTACATACCAATCCTGCATTAATTTCTTGAAAACTGCTTTTCTAAGATTATATCATGATATGATGACTGATATCATGTAGACTGTTTATATTATGTCAGATTAGTAAGGTTCACTTACTGCCTGCGTTGAAGGTTGACAGTTTCAAAGTGAATGAGGTAGTTCCAGGAGGGGAAGTCGTTGTTCCAGATCACCGGTGTAACCGCTCCTTGGTTACCATAGAAAACCTTAACGTATCCATCTGTCTTAGAGAAATGGTCCCCCCAAAGTCCTTCCGCTCGGATCACCGTCACGTTCATCCGGGCAATGCCAGGCTCTCTAGGGCAGCACTCCAAGTTGACCATTTGGTGTCCTTGGCAACGACAAGCACAGTTCTGGTTTTGGCTGCCAATCCTGCAACGAGCCGGGCAGTTGAGCGGCCTGGCATTCTTGCTGATGTAGTCGCTGATGGCGTCACGTAGGTTACTTCTGAGGATGGGGTTGTCCGTCACCTACAGAGTAGAGGCAGGGAAAAGTTTAACTGAAAAATCTCGCAATGCAGTCAGCCATTAGGCGTCTACTACACGCGTCCTTGAGAAGGCGGGGCTGTCTCTCTTCCAAACATAAACAAGCTGAGAGAAGCACTGGTCCGTCAATGTGAACACAGAGTTAAGAACAACAACCCAGAGGGAGTTTGACTTCACCCTTTTTTTTTTTTTGAGAAAGTTATAACTTAACAATATATTTATTTATGATTGAATTGATATCTTAAAGTTTTTAAATGTGGCATAGTACACCTTCAATCAAAGTTTTCAAGAGAAACTTGTTTTTTTTGTAATCATTCAACAAGTTCATCGCCAATGATTCACTAGATGTTGCATTATCTGTTCGCTAACTTTCCTCAAGTCCTGCCGTATAGTTACAGTTGTGTGACTGTTCTTATGAAGGAAAACACATCTGAAGATGGAGGGCAGTCACATGATCGTGTTTTATCAAGTTAGTTTTTTTGCGCCACATTTACAAAGAAAATTGTAGCCATAATTAAGTAAATAAATAGCTCTTAATTTAGTTTCTCACCAGCAGGTGCAATGGGCTGATCTGGTAGGAAACCACACCTGGGACCCTCTTCAGGGAATTCAGCCACTTCTTGTACTCAGCGGCACTGTTCGGGCTGAACATGATGTCCCCAACATCCCCGTCCCCTCCATGAACCTCTGTGGTCCGGTCAGAAAAGGCCTGGCTGAAGGTTGATCCAGTTTTCAGGCTCTTGCTCTGTGCCTTGCAGAACTCAAAGGCTGAACTGAAAGTGACGAACATCACGAAACTAGCCTCCGCGCTCAGGCAGTTGCTGACGGTGCGGGCTGACATCTTGCTCATGGAGGCCTCGCAGGTCCGGATGGCAGTGATGGAGTTCAGACGGCCTCCGAGTTGGACCCTACGGATGAAGTGCGTCCCATAGATGGCGATGAAGCGTTTGAAAGCCAAGGTGTTCTTGTGGTGGCGTGTGGAGGGGAGGTCCTTGAGGGAATCTTCAAACTCTTTACTCAGAGGAGGGCGCGCGTGGAGACGGAAGCTGAGGGTTCAAAAGGGGAACGTTTTAAAAGTCTCATTTTAAAGAAGTCCCTCCCCCTATTCCTGACTTCACTTGAGGACAATTATCAGACTTTACACTGCTCCCCCTTCAGACAGTGAGGGGTCATTATTACCTTTAAAACAATGTGAGTTAATAATTAAGAAAAGGGCATATATTTTGAATCGAAAAGTGACACTTTTTCTGTGTGCCTAAATCCTGTATTCTTTCTATTGACCAGCTTGGCTGATGGTGGAGTTTCTTTTCTCAGTAAACATCTACCTAATGTGAGTATGGTCCAAATCTCTGTTTTTAAGTCTTCTTCAATACAATGTGATTGTGTAGTATTGAGTCAAGTAGACCATAAAGAAGAGGAGGATTTAGGATGAGTCTACCTTCGATTGACTATTTGTTCCATGGTAACCTGAAAAATGTCTTCTTGTCATCTTGTATTTGTTCCCTAAAGACATTTGGAGAATTCAGCTTTTTCGGTAAGAACATTTAGCTAAAAGTGTGTTTTTTAGCTAGCAAGTTTATATGAAAAACAGAGGCATCTTGCTCAAAGAACTAGCCCTACCATGATCTGATAGCTTGGCTAACCCATCGCTCCTCTCCAGGTCCCCCTGTTGTCCAAATATGGTCCCACAAAAACCAGATGGTAACAGCCAAGAATGCCAAATTAAAAATGTGGTTTCGGGAACATAGACCACACCTTAAACACAACCCATTTCCATTAAAGTTGTGTTTAAGCACGTCTTACTCACTCCTATTCCTCTGACACTGATTTCTTATCCCCCCTCCAACATCCCTCGACACTTTACCCTTAACCCTTATGTATATGCATGTTACAATAAAGTATTCATAATCAATATCTTTCTTCTTTGAATAGTCCAATGGGTGACAATTTGGGGCTAGGCCTTCTTCTTCTGGTGCAATCAGATTGGGAAGTACTTACTAAATTTCCTCTCAGCACTTACGAGTAGTATTTGCAGTTAAAACTGTGGGTGGTGAAGGAGAACTTGTCTTTCTTGCTGTGACTGTCTGCAAATTTTGACGATTTGGAGAATGAACCTCCGGTTGCAAATCCTCCAAATGCAGGCAAAGTGAGACCCACCTGAGGGACATCAACAGGTATGAAGAAAAACGTAAAAGCTTACATTCTGCAGCACATAGTGGTTGACATACAAGATTATTTTTGTTTTGGGTAACAGTGTTAGCATTCATGACCTTTAGATGTTCTATTTTTATGACCATATCTTGTTAAAACTCTCACCTTCCAGCTTGCTGAAAGAGAATTACTTGTCTCTTTCATGAATGACTGGCTCGTCTCAAAGAACTTACTGCTCAGACTACGCCGGCAGTTCACCTGAGAGCAGAGAGCAACTTAGATCCTGCTGATATACAAGACTATGATCCCTCAAACTAATGTTTCCCCAAACATACCTTTATCCTCCAGTCCAGCACGGACACCGGGAGTTTCTGGGTCTTTTTGACGAGGAAACAAAAAACAGTTAGTTGTGTATAAAATAAACACAATCAAACCATGTTACATTGTCATGGTTCAACCCATGGCAGCCACTCGCCTGTCTCGACCCTCTGTTTCTCCTCCCCTGTGTGTCCTGAATGCAAATCCAAAGCACTGGCCTAAAATGTGAAAATTCTACAATGACAGTAGGAGACCTCCCTAAGGGGCCCCCATATGACAGCGCTCACTTTTGTTGACCTGACAGGCGTTGCATGTATTATTCCCTTTAAAAGTAGGATATGAAAAAAAAAGAGGAAGGGCAGTAAGCTTTGGGAAACTGGCAGACATATTGGTAAAAAAAATGCCTTCAATAGATTTTTGCCTAAGGTCACAACAGATACTCGAATATGACTGCGTACAACATGAGAAGGTGGAGACTTATCATCAGCCTTCACATCTAGTCAATGAGCTTGAACAGTACTGAGGCCGTACTCAGTATCAAACCTGGCTCAGGATCTGACCTGATTCAAGAGGTGGTTGTGGCATATGGTGCAGTTCCCCTCGACTCCTCCCACCATGAAGTTCTTGACGTCGACCACGCTGGCTCCGCTGGTCCTCATCAGCACCACGTCGAAACCCTCACCGGCCAGGTTGTGACCCGGGACAAATGGAGCGTTCTGACACTCGGTGAAGGAGCTGGTCTGACACCCCAGAGCTCGAGGGAGGAGGAAGAGGAGGAGGAGGATAGGGCTGGAGGAGAGCATCGTAGAACTGAACAGGATAAGAAGAAGAAGAAACAGACTGCTGTGAAAAAAAACTAAATAGTTTGTTGCCCCCCGGTGGTGGAATGAACTTCCAAAGTCCATTGGACTTTAAGAAAAAGCTAAAGACCCAGCTCTTTCATGAATACCTACTAACTTAGTGATGATGGTCTCCATATTATTTGTTTGATAACGACGACTTAATAGATGGTTTCTATACTGATTTGAGCTCTCAAGAACTGCCCTCAATGTTGTGCTTTGCCTCTGGTCACTTCCTGTCAGCACCTGTGTGTCCAATCGGACTCAAAGCTGATCGTTTGCTCTTACTGACATTGTTCCCTTTTTTCTAGATCCTTGCTTGTGTTGTTCTTACTCTCTGATGTACGTTGCTTTGGATAAAAGCGTCTGCTAAGTGAATTGTAGAATTGTAGTTTATTGAAGTATTTCTACCCAGAAGGCATCATTTTGACTCAGGGATTCATCACGACCTGTCAGTGTTTTTAACTCAGTTACGGCCTCGCCTTCCTCTTAACCTCAAAGTGATGTCAACCATCTTCAGGCGTTGAAATGGTTGAAAGCTTTCTCTTTTTCAACAAGAAACATCAGACATGGAAAGGTCTTTAAGAATGTCAAATCTGTTTGTGTTTTTACTGTTTGCTAGTTCAATCCATACCATGACTTATGCATATAAAAGGGAATATTATAATTATTATGGCAGGTAAACTTTGATTCCACAAGTGTTGGATTAACTCTCTGTGGTGTGACCTACTTTAAAAATAACAGTTTGACAATGTCTCTAAATATCCCATTAGTTATTAGGAGCAGATATAAAACTAGATATTATTTTGGCACACCAGCATCATCACATTGTCAAGAGTGTCAGGACCCTGAAAAGATACTGCAAGAAAACTGGGGCTTGACTTGGAGAAAAATAATCTCTTTCTTGGATTGATTTACGAATTTGACATAAATAAATTAACAACTTTATTCTTATAAATGTACGTCTTTAATCTCAAAATTTTAGATTTTTTTTTTCTTTAACTTGGCCCTAATAAGGCCAAACATTGTGCCTGTCTTAAACACAGAACATTGACTAAAGTGACTTCATCTTGAAGTTTTTTAATCAGTTTTTTCATCTAAGATTCTGTAATGCAGTTTGCATTTTAGGCACGGATATTAATATTTAAAACAAAAATCTTATCTTCTTAATATGCCATGAGTGTTTTAATATTTCCAAAGTAATTTTTTAAAATATTTATTTCTGGGGCCTTTTGCCTGTATGCAATAGGACAGTGGAGCAGGAAACTGGGGAGAGAGATTGGAATAAGACAAGGCAGCCACAGGTCGGACCTGATCGCATATTGGGTGTGACCTTACCACTATAGGTCATTTGCACCCCCCTTAAGTTGTTTAAAAGAACATTTGTGTCAAAAATGAAGACACATACTTAACACTTTTGGCACCATCAGAATCAAGAGAATTACGTCAAATGTCAGCGGGATGAGGTCAGACAGAGGGTAAAGATGTTATTATAGTTATATTAGCATTTTGACCTCTTTAAGCCTTTCACTCTTCATGCACCTTGTTAGTTGGTGAAGTTGTGCCAGAATATCCCGCTCTGCTTCTAGAATGAATAAGCTAACATTTTTTCATGGTAACAGAAAACACTGCAGGATACATTTTTATTTTTTATTTGTTATAGCTCTGTTGTGTTAAAATACTCAACATTAGCGATGAAGTATATATTAATATGCAGGTCCCAAAAAACTGGACATCAAGCTCATTCATATGTTTCAGAACATTTTCCTACCGTCACAGCAATGAAGATGATGATGATGATGATGAGGAGGAGAAACTCTCCCTGCTGAGTGTCGGTCCGACTCTGTGCTCTGTGTGGAGTGGGTTTCTGTTTCTGGTTTTAAAAACACTTATTGAGACGTTTCTGTGCAGAGTGTGATCACACCTCAAAGAACTCTGAAAGTCATCACAACAGCCTCGCTGCTGCTCTTTATTTCTCCTCTTTAACCTCAAAGGAGCCAAAAAGACACTCGAACACCTTCAGGTGACGACGATCTCAGGTGAAAAAACAAGGACACATGTAATTTAAAAATACTCTCATTTGATATTAAAGGGAAGCATATGTCTGATTAAAGTCTAATTTTAAATGTAATAAGAAAAAAAATCATCAAAAATGTATTTTGATGCTTGGGTCAACATTGATGAATATGAATATTAAAACTTTTTGATGCCAGTAAAAGGTTATTTTGATTCGAGTTTAACTAAAATAAAGGGGCAGTTTTTGACATCAACATTATGTGCGTGTGTGTGTGTGTGTGTGTGCGTGTGTGTGTGAGAGACAGGAAGCTGTCGTGTGCTTAAGACAAAAACAAACTTCAGACTCAGCAGGAAAGCTGCTGTGAAAGTCACACTGCTGTCATGACTGTTCCTCTCCTCTCTCTCTCTCTCTAACACACACACACACACACACACACACACACACACACACACACACACACACACACACACACGGATCTGAACAAATTGTACCCTGTCACGCAAATGTTACAAAAAAAATAGCTGGAGGAGTGGAAGAAAGAGGCGTGAATTGTATTGCATAAGTTGAGAAAACAGATCACAAAATAAAGTGAACTGATCTCACCTGAAGAGATGTGAAGTGGATGCTCAGTAATATTTAGGGATCATGTGACCTGCGCTGTATTCACAACTCCACAAAATGTGAAAGTGGAATGCAGCTGGGCATATTCATTTGACCAGTGTGCTCATCGTGCACATAGTGAAACCGCTTTCTTCTCTTGGACACTAACCAGTGTGTTTTTTTTCCCACACATTCGCTGATGCTGAGGATAAGTCCAATAACAGTAGATAATAGATTCGATTAAAGGGCAAAACACTGACATTGTTGGTCTCTGCTTCACCCTTCATCTAAACATTGCAACCACAGCATCTTCTTCACGTCATGTCCTGCCTCCTGAGGACCCAAAAGTTGAACTATTTTCGACTGAGAGAGCGCTGCAAAAAAAAACGGCTTATGAAAACGCTGCACTATTTGATTTTGAGAAGAAAATGAGCGCTGCCAATGACAACACGGTGCCAACACAGGCCCTAAAGTGGACTCAAGACTTGAAAGAAAGCATCATCAACATTATAGTATAAACTTTAAGTGACATCTGATCATGTGACATCAAATTAATCAACTGAACTAAAGTGACTTCTGAAGGCCATAAAACCAGCTGCTGTATGTTTTGTCCGTCTCTGGCTGCTGTCCTGCTACTAATGCAGTAACTGTAGTGAATCATCAGCACACACACACACACACACACACACACCCACACACACACACACACACACACACACACACACACACACACATACACACACACTGCTGACTGCACACATAGTGAGTCTAGACGAAACAGTTCACTTCACAGCAACAATAAATCTGACTTTGTTTCTGACTTGCATTTCTTTTCCTCTCCTGTTTTCTCCTCTCTCTCTCTCTCTCTCTCTCTCTCTCTCTGACATCACCACAGTTAATGCATTTTATGCAACATGCTCTGATCGAGGAATCCGATTGGAGAAGAGACATTCCATGAGTGCTGACATAGATTACAACAGCATTCCTTTCCACTACGTGTATCACTTAATGTACATTTACATGTAAGGAGCTGCAGAAGAAGTAAATCACAGAAGTGCTGATTTGAAGTAAAACAGCATGACCAGTTGCCCCCTTGTAACACTCTGACTTCTTTTATTAAATGTAAATGTAAAAATATCTCTTGTTAAATAAAATCATAATCCAACTCTCTCTCATTCCTCCATCTTTATTCTTCTCTTCTGTCGCTCTGATCTATCCTGACTTCCTCGTCTGCATTTTCTCATCCCTCCTTCTTCCCTCTCTCTCTAATCAATAAGACTGACTTTATTCATTTTTCTTTGTTGTCTTCTTCCCTTTCATGCTTTCTCCATCATCCCTCCATCCTCTGTGACTCTCTTTCCTCCTCTTCCTCCTGTTTTTATGTTCCTGTCTTTGTCTCTTGCGCCCCCTGCAGGTTGGCTGACACACTGCAGCTGATCAGTTTCACCTTGGGCTGAGGTTGAAGGGCAGGAGGAGAGATCTGTGTGTGTGTGTGTGTGTGTGTGTGTGTGTGTGTGTGTGTGTGTGTGTGTGTGTGTGTGTGTGTGTGTGTGTGTGTGTGTGGGTGGGTGTGTGTGTTTGTGTGCCTGTACCACAGTGTAGGATTTGTGCTCGATATCAAAAGATCCTTTTTTTTTTCTTTTTGCACACAAACACGCACACACACACACACACACACACACACACACACACACACACACACACATTTTGTAGGTTATCAAAGATGGCAGTGATGGCTCTGTTTGTCTCTGCAGCAACGTTATGAGATTAAATGATGCCTTGGTGATAACACTGTTGTACTTACATACACACACACACACACACACACACACACACACACACACACACACACACACACACACGCTCACTCAAATTCTAGCTATAAGCTCAATTTTGATGCATGAAATTTGACTCTTCGTAGGGCATCTGAGATTTCCTAAAGTTTTCAAGATGAGGTGAATGTTTGAATACAAACAGACAGTTTTTTTTTACTTTAACTTTATCCAGATTTTCTCCCGCTAACCTGCTCACATTTTTTCCACAGAAAATCTGAGGGAGCTGATGTGAGAACCCAGCAGGAAATAATCAGGAGAATTCCCCTTGAGGAAGAAGGCTTTTTGTATTTTCTGTATTCAGTTTACAATAAGAGAAAACAGTTTTATACCCTCACTGTTGAATCTTTTTCTTTTGTTACAGAAATGTTTCTTCATTTGATTTTACTCTCGATTAGTTCAGAAAGTCGAAATATTGTAACAATTACAAAAACAGCGTGGATGCTACAAAGAAGATGAGTGGAATGTCTCTGCTATAAGTTATATTTGAGCAAAAAGTGAATGTGCAATGCATGAATTAATCTAAAGTACCTTAACATTAACAATGACGAATATCAAGTCAAGTCGGCAAGTTGGTCACCTTGTTCCTTCCCAATTTTCAGAGTCGTTGCTCCGACTTGAGCAGGCGTTCATGTGCATTTTACAACTCGTAAACTCGTTTTTCCAATGTGTTGGACATCATTTGAACACACCATTTGTCTCTGTGTTTCATCCCTTTTTTGATGATTTTCCTCGCGGCTCTTTGTGTTTTTCTTTCACCTGTCTCATGGACTTTTCTGTTTTGATGTTTTACTTTATTTGAAAGTATTTTTTTTCTTTTTCCTCTTGGCCTTTTTGTGAGATAACTTCTTTTCGTGATCTTTCAATTGGGTCCACACCCTTGCTTCTTGACGAACCATGACAATCTTATGCACAGAAAACAGATTTTAAACCTCAAAATTCAAAGCAGACACCCTCCATCTTGTTGCTGCCTTCACTGCCTCTCTCACTCTGATCAATGCATCTTCTGATGAGCTGATTAACCTTCATTAAAGAAGTGAAAACAGTCTCCGAGCCCATCACTTTGCAGAGAGGAAGATGAACATTAAATTAGAGGCTTGATTTCCCACGGTAAAGTCAAAGATCTGTGAAACACGTGGATCTGTCATCCTCTTTATTCATTTATGTAAATCTCTTCTTCCTCCTCTCAAAGTCCCCAAAACCTCTTCAGCTGTCTCTCCTCTTCATCACGTCCTCCCTCTAACAGTCTTAAATGTTGCATGAAATCTTTCGTACAGATGATTGTACTTCACATCTGTCTGCTGAGTTGAAACATGAAGCCTGTTTTTAAGCTGGTAAACATCTAGTGACAGCTTTCACCTATAAGCGCTCTGATCATGTGGCATTCAGGGACAATCAGTCCTGTCAATGCTCCCTGAATACTCTCAGACAAACAAACCTGCAGACACTGACAAAGTAAACACATCCTTTTAAAGACAATACTGCAATAATTCTCTCTTAAAAGTGAAATGCATGTTTTGAAATTGTTGTGAGAAGTTGTACTAAATTGTTAAAAGTAGAGAAATGTGATTATATCTACTAGGGCTGGGCGATATGGACCAAAACTCATGTCTTGATATTGATTAGCGGAATGGTGATACTCGATATATATCGATATGTATGTTATTAACAGTGAAAACACATGGAAAATAAACTACCTGTTTGTGAATTTAAAAAGTAATATTATAAAATAAATATTAATATAAATACAATAAAAGAGAGAGAGGAGGAGGAGCAGGATAAAGAGGGACAGACAGTCAGTCAGTCATCATCAGTGAGATGATAAAAAGGTGACCTGGCACCTCTGTAACGTTATTTTAATGCAACATAAACTATATCGATATTAACGATATTGTCTGACCCTATATCTTGTTTGAAAATATATCGATATATCTTAAAAACTCGATATATTTCCCAGCCCTAATATCAACTATTGTTCCTTGTGCTTTTAAGGAAATGTTGTATTTCACTATCTGTATGAAGGACTACTGCTAATGTTTTTGTTTCTCATTAAGGTCACAGATTGTAATATTATGCAAACAGCCTGAAGCTTTAGATCATAGCTTAACAAGTAGACTTTTTACATCTGCTGACTTTTCAATGAATTGATTGAACATTTCAACAGACCCTTAAATTGTTGGTAACAAAGTATTAGATTATATAATTTGTCAATAAGTAATTTAATGAAAACTGTGATATAAATGAAGTGTGTTCTTTTAGTAAAAGTAAAATAAAATGGAAGTAAAAAGACAGAAGGAAAGCACCAGTATCTATAATTTGTACTTCAGGGATTGCAAAACAATCAGAAACAGGACACAGTTGCATCTTTTCTCCTGGTTTCATCACAAACATCTGGAGCTGAAAGAA